GCATCGTCATTAGGTAATACCCTGCAGATTAGTTATAAAATCTCCAACAAGATTTTGGTAGACAAATACATGAGCACTAAATCTATGGTGTCTGAGTCTCATGCTTCAACTGCTTTATTTGGCCTGCTGATAGGTTTTACAGTTCTGTAGAAGCATTAAGGATGCACAAAACTCCTCATGAATACTCTGATTTGTAGTTCAAAGCCCCCAAATATAATACCCTGCAGATTAGTTATAAAATCTCCAACAAGATTTTGGTAGACAAATACATGAGCACTAAATCTATGGTGTCTGAGTCTCATGCTTCAACTGCTTTATTTGGCCTGCTGATAGGTTTTACAGTTCTGTAGAAGCATTAAGGATGCACAAAACTCCTCATGAATACTCTGATTTGTAGTTCAAAGCCCCCAAATAGACTTGAAAAAATAGACATCCTAGTAGCCATTTACTGAAAGAAGTCAAGCCTCTGAATTGGTTTTTTTACCTCTTTAGTAAATAGGGCTTCTAATTCCTGCTCATCCAGGAAACCATCATTATTGACATCTGCAAAAAAAAGTGTTAAAAATACAAGTTAAGTAGGTACAGAAAGTCATACATGTAATAGATCTCCCATAAGTTAAGTAAAGATCAGTGTAGACATCCTATGTGGATTAAAAACCTCATTGAACAAGAAGGTGGTTACATAGGTTGTTTTTTCTGTTTAGGTTTTTATCAGACATTGGCTGAAGTGTATTGCCATTTTTGGTTGGTTGGTTGGACAAGTCTGGAGCAATCTCTCTACTTCTTAGATTAGCATACTGAAATAGGTCACCACAGGATTGCGCAGAGTGCAACTGCCAGAAAGTGCTGCTGAGAACAAGTTGTCCCCATTTAACAACTACATTGGTAATTAGAATCACAAGCAACAAAAGTCTGCAAAAAAACTTTGTAAAGTGGCTCTTTAGAAAGCCTAAAGAATTACAAGAACACCTATATAAATATGTAGCACTTGAGATAACTGTAAAACGACTTTTCATGACAAATGCAGAGAGGAAAATACTTGGTAACTAATGATTCATCTTTTATCCTACGTTGTACTCTGAAAATTGTTATACTGCCTCTGAAACCAAAAGAAAATGTCTACTTCAAACGAGCAGTATGAGGCAATATTTGTCTTTAATTGCTTCAAAGTTTTTTAGATACTAAGCTCAAAGGGAAAAGATTACTCCAGCTATTTCTGTTTTATAAGATTTCCACAAACAATCCATCAAAAATTTTCAGAAAATTGTCTTTCTAAATCACTTTCTAGAAAGAAGAAATAAGGCTTAATAACTATAATACATATTTATATATTTTATAAACCAAGATAAAAATTGAGATTCAAGCTAGAACACTTTTCTTCATCTAAATCACTCTCTCTGCTCAGCCCTTGTGAGGCCACACCTAGAGGACTGTGTTCAGTTCTGGGCCCCTCAGGACAGGACAAGAGGGGAGCTCCTGGAGCAGCAGAGGGCAACAAGATGATGAAGGGACTGGAGCACCTCACTGATGAGGAAAGACTGAGGGAGCTGGGCCTGTTCAGCCTCAAGAAGAGAAGACTGAGATGGACCTCATTAATATACTCAAGTACATGAATGGGAGGTGCCAAAAGGGCAACAAGATGATGAAGGGACTGGAGCACCTCACTGATGAGGAAAGACTGAGGGAGCTGGGCCTGTTCAGCCTCAAGAAGAGAAGACTGAGATGGACCTCATTAATATACTCAAGTACATGAATGGGAGGTGCCAAAATAATGCATCAGTCTCTTCTCACTTGTGGAAACCAATAAAACAAGAGGTAATAGCAAGGACTGATGCACAAGAAGCTCCACCTGAATACAAGGAAGAACTTCTTTCCTGTGCAGTCACTGAGCCCTGGAACAGGTTACCCAGAGAGGTCATGGATTCTCCCCCCTGGAGTTATTCAAGCACCATCTGATGCAATCCTGAGCCATGTGCTCTAGGGTGGCTCTGCTTCAGTAGGAAGGTTGGACTACATGACCCATTATGGTCCCTCCCAAACTAACTGATTCTCTGATCTTCAGGATTAGTCAAATTCTGTTCAAATACTGTTCAACCCTTTGCAGCCTAGTGCCAGGCAGAATCTACTTAGGGATATTTATGATGAAGCATTTAACAATGTCAGAATATAAGGTTACATGGTGATATAATAATATTTAAAGAAAAATGTCCATTGAGATGCATCCTCATCTCTTCTACTGTTACTACTTTTCTAGCCGTATATTGCTGAGAAATATAGAGGCAGGAATAGAGTGAGTCCATCCAACGGCAGTGAGGCTCAGAAAAGGCCTAGAACACTAGGAATGGCTGAGGGAGTTGGGTTTGTTCAGCCTTGAGAAAAGGCTCAGGGGTGATCTCATGGCTCTCTACAACTACCTGACAGGGGTTGTAGAGAGGTGTGGGATGGTCTCTCCTGCCATGGCTGCAGGGAGAGGACTAGAGGGAATGGCCATAAGCTGAGACAGGGGAGAGTCAGACTAGATGTTTGAAAAAATGTTTTCCCTGTTCGGGTGTTCAGGCACTGGAATAGGTTGCCCAGGAAGGTGGTGGAGTCACCATCCCTGGAAGTGCTTAAGAGGCATCTGGATCAGACACTGGAGGATATGGTTTAGGGTTTAGAGCAGAGTGGCAGGTTAATGATTGCATTTGAGGATGTTAGAGATCACCTCCAACCTTGATGATTCTATGATTCTAGAGTGCATTTTGGTCTTTGGTTTATCAAGGGAATCGCTCAACTTCTGAAGAGGCTTGGCACTTCTGTGACCATTCCAAAGATTATGGGGGTGTGGCACTTCTCTGCAGGGATTATGAGAAAGCAAGTTTCCTCCACACAACTGAGGATTTATTCCTAGCACACAGCATGTAAGCAAAGTTATAGATACAGACAGTCCTCTAAGCACATGTACTTCCCTGAGTAATCACTAGTTTTTGGCTATATGATTTTATGAGTCGCTCAACAAAACTGTTTTCAAATGTTAAACTCCATTTAGAACTTTGCAGAAAACCTTACAAAGAATAACAAGTGTTTTCTTCTCTATACTATTCAGATTCATCCAAATTGTTTGAGGTATAAGACTTCATCCTAGCATAGGACAAACTTGTCGGAACAGAAGGTCAGTTCAGTTGTTCATTAAATTAAAACTAAATCTCTTACCGTGCAATTTGAAAAATGTTTTGGGGTCAAATTCATTAGGATCTAGTCCGTCTGCTTCTTCCCACACCTCTTTCAGTTGATCTTTGCTTCCCTATAGATTGGTTACAAAGAAAAACTATTCAAAAGATAATTTAGTGTAATTTTTACACATTACCTTTGCATTACAGTTTCTGTGAAAGGCTTTGTTTGCTGATTAGTCATGTGGCAAATGGAATCAATGGAATTTTCTTTAATTCCCTTTTGGTCAGGTCTAATAGGTTTGTTAGACAGAAAGGCCCAGGGAA